AATTTATCATATAAAATATTTAATTGACGACGTTTTTCATCGATTTGTTCTTTATAAATTTAATATTCTGATAATTGTCGGTGCATATTGATCAGTTGTAGATGCAACGTTGAATAGAATGACTAAGACGTTCCATTGTTAAATTAAATATATATCTTCATATAATTTACATTGATTAAGATAAATATCACGAAAACGTTCAGCTTGAAGTAAATATTGACGACGTTGATAAAACTAATAAAAAAATATTTAAGAAAAAGAAATAAATAGTTGTTCTTTTAAAAAGTTAATCATTGATTGAAGAAGATGAATTTGAGATGGTAATGGCATAGAATTACCATCTTCAATACACATTGTTTGTCCATGTTGTTTTAAATGTGATAATTCATCTTGATATTGATATAATTCTTGATTTTGCATCTATAGAATAATTTCAAAAGAAAAGACTAAAAAATTCATATGAAATAAATCTTACTCGTATAAAATGAATTTGTTCTTCAATTGAATCTTGTGTATTAATTTTTCGTTGTTTAAATCTATTTAATTTATCTTGTAATAAATTTATTTCATCCATAAATAAATCCCATTCACGTTCACATTGACGTTTACGTCGTTCTCGTTCTTCATTTTGAGTTTCAAATTTAATCATTTGTTCATCAAGTGATCTTAATGCATCTTCAATTGACTAAAATATAATAAAATATTTGATTTTTTTTTAATAATTATTTAAAATAGAGAAAAAAAATTCATGTGCTCACTCTGCCAGGTATTTGATAATCATGGTGTAGAAGTGAAGAAAGTTTATTAAATTATTCTTGATAAGTACGATGTTTACGTTGTTGTTCATCTAGATCCTATTATAAAACACGCGATATACATGGATTTAGGTTAATAATAATAAATGAAGAAAAAATAATAGAATAGAAGAAAATATTTCAATAATTAACTAATGAAAGTATTTTTACTATTTGAGATATAACTTTTATATATTCATATAACGTTTAATGTTTTTGTCTAATGTAGATAGATTATCATGCGTGTGTCTATTTTTTTTTTATTGAAAGAATCTAATTTTTGAAAAATTTCAATAGTATAATAAGTATGAAATTCTACCCATGCATTACTAAGAAATTTTTTTTTCTCATTATCTTACTTTGATTGTTTTTGCTTAATAAATGTTGTTCGAGTTTCAACTTCTCTATAATTGTTTCATCAAAACGTTCTTTTAAATGTTCAATTTCTTGACGTAATCTTTGTAAAGTATCATTTGGTAAATCTGAACTAAAAACAAAAAAAAATAAAATCTAATTAAATTTTCTAATCCTAATTAATAATTCCAGCGCTCAGAATCCATGAATTTCCAGTCGGAAAACTTCGGAACAATGGTAGAAATCCAGTGATAATCGTGTATAGGACTTTTTTCTTGGGCTTAGATTCCTGTTCGGAACTTTCTACCGTTTTTCCATCGAAAACAAGGCGTATTTCTTAACCTAAGAAATGACAATATTATCCTTCTAACCTATTGATATTTGGTAATAATAAATGAATATCATGTGATTTTTCATCAATAAGTTGACGTTT